CTTTCCACTCCCAGCTCACCTATTCCTGCCTAGTCCAATTCCAGTTTCACTGTAAATTCTTCAGAAAGATAACACACCGTGGGTCAGAACCTTTGAGTAGAAAGAGAACCTAAAGAATCAGCTGAACGTTTTGAAACTGCACTCTTTCACACATTAGAGGGTTGTACACTTTCAGAGTCATGGTTTTCCACCAGAAAGGTCTATGAGGGTAATGAGGGGGGAGAAAAACAAAAGGACCACAGCTGATGGCTTCCATGAGCAATCCAACCAAACTCGGGAGTTTGCCAGGCCCTCGGCTTGTGACAGAACAAAGATTTCTGCTCTTAATCATGAAAGTAATTTTTAAAGTGTCACACAAGTATTTCTGGATGAGCAATAAGATCCTATTATCTTTTTTGGAGGAAAAAAAAACAGTTAGGAAATGAGTAATTAATTCTGAATCAGGTTTCAACTGCCAAAATAGGCAACAATAAGAAAAGTTATAACAAGGTCTAAAATTAAATTCCAAAGATCTTACCAATATAAATACAGTTTATTTTTATACATAATACATTTAAATTTAAAAACAGATTTATTTGTTTTTCAAATAAAAAGTAATATTTAAAAATCTGAGCAAAGGAGAAATGGAGCTCAAAGAAGAAAAAGTCCCCAAATCAAAGAAATTCTTTTTAACTTTTTTCTCATTTTAAAGGATAATAATGATCCTTATAAAAGCAAGCACTTTGACTTTATATTTAATTGTGCTAAAACATATAAAACATAAAATTTACCATCTTAGCCATTTTTAAGTATACAGTTCAAAAAATTTACCATCTGAATAATTATAAATTCACAGTTCACAGTTCAGTAATCCTAAATACATTCACTGTTGTGCAGCCAATTTCCAGAACATTCTCATCTTGCTAAACTGAAATTCTTCACCCAACCAACAAATCCACCATTCTCCCCACCCCTGTTCTCCCACCCTATGCTACTTTGTCTCCATAAGTATGACCATTCTAGGTCCCACACAGAAGTGGAATCACACAGAATTTTTCTTTTGTGATTGCTTACTTCACTTAACACAATGTCCTCAAGGTTCATTTACATCGTAGCATGTATCAGAATTTCGTTGCCTTTTAATGTCGAATAATATCCCACTGTATGGATACACCTGTTGTGTCGATCCATTCATTTGAAAATGGTCTCTGGGATTGCTTCCACCTTCTTTGACTTCCTTCAAAAATTTTTATTTAACTAAGCAGGTGTGGCTTGCTGGTGTTAGACTGGCTGGGTTCAAATCCCTCACCTCCACTGTGGCCCAGAAAACACAAGGCTAAAGAGAACGAAGGAGGCAGAGACAGAGGAAAGGCAAGGACAGAAAATGGGAATGCTGGTATTGCCAGGTGATGAGGAGGGGGTTCAGAAACCAAGAGCTCATTCAAGAACTTGTCAGTGGAATCGACTATGGATGGACAAGTGCTACGTGCTAAAAATTCAGAGACCATGTCTCCTTTGGGGACAATGATGGTCAAAGGCTATCTACAGGTAAATAATTACAGACAATGGGAGAAGATAAGGCAACAGAGGAGCAGGAGGGACCAGCCTAGCATAGGCTGTGGCTCAGTCCCAGGCTGCAGCTGAGTCCCAGGGAAGGAAGGAGAGGCTGAGGGTAGGGAGAGAGGGAGGCCCTGGATAGGGAAGGCTGAAGCGAAAGCTGGAAGACAAAAATGAACTCACTCAGGCAAAGTATGAAAAATGTATCTCAATAAGCAGAGTCCTAAACCCGATTAGGAAAGACAAGAAACAAGACCTAATTAAGTATCAATCAATACGAAGAAATGAAAACCTGCCAGAAAGCCCACAGAGAAAATACCCATTCCGGTGCCAGCATGATCCTCCTGGGGTCGCCTCCACTGCAGAAAACAAACCCGTGGCTCAGGAGTATAAATTAGAATTGAGGCGGTCAAAGCTGACACTCATTAAAAGCTTACAGACTTTATGTCGCACCTCATTCCATCAAATGAAAATATCTTAAAAGTTGAAAACATGTCCAAAAGACGGCCACTTCATAAAACACAAGCCGCTCTGTTTAATTCTTTGGCTTTTCAAATATAAGCAACTTGCCAAGAGACTACATTATATTTTTCTATTAGTATAGGCATGCCATGCTTTAGGACAGGGACAACTTCTGAGAAATGCATGGTTAGGTGATAGCATTCCTGTCCAAATATCACAGACTGCACTTATACAAACCGAGAAGCTATGACGTCACTAGTGATATAATCTTATGGGACCACCATCATCGTTAATGAAAACGTTGTCAAATCGCACATGGCCGTATGTGCTTATAACACCTGCTTTGTTCCCCCACAAAGATTGGATCAGTTACATTTTATGTTATTTGGTAGTCATGTTTCATGAGCTTATAGAACTGCAAGGACCTACAAGATTATGTGTCCACAAATAAATCTCTACTTCCCAGACACTATTGGAGGAGCTGGACCACCAAAATGTAAAAGAAGGTCTGCCTGCTGCTTCAGGATGTGTTCAGGAGGCCACCCTGTAAACGGTAGTGACAATGTGATGGCCTGAGCCATGCAGAAGAAACCAGAAGGGGCTGGGGATATAATAAGAGGCAGCCTCTTCAGAAATGAGAGGCACCACTTTATTCACTTCTCCATTGTTCATCCATCCATCTCCCCATTCATTCCTTTACTTGGCACTTCTCAGGAGCAGGGGCAGGTTCTCAGGGCTAAGCAGCATCCATGAAGCAACGCCTGCTTCACTAAGGTGAGTTTGAAAGACAAGTTCTGTGGGGAGCCGGAAGGAGGAAGTATTTCAGGTAGAAAGAAGAATGTGGAGGCCAACAGAGCTCTGCGTAGTCTCAGTGAGTTAGGGAGGAACAGGAAGGGAAGGGGCCAGAAAGCAGGGAGATCAGAGCAAGTGAGACCAGAAGTACGGGAAGCCGGGTACAGTCCTGAGACAGAAGCACATCTCTCCCTTGACACGAGGAAGGGAACTAAGGATGTGGGAATGTGGATACATTTCAAGTTAGAAGAAGGGAACACATTAAGGAGCTGTCACAAGTTACCAAATGAAGATTAAAAGTAAGGTGAGTAGCAATTCACTGAGCAGCAACCATGCTGATTCAGGCTCTCTAAAGTATGTGTGCAGGACACGAAGATACCCCTACTGCAACACTAGTAAATATTTGAATCAAGCAATGAACTCCTCTTGCTTGGGATTCCATGGTTACCAAACCTGTGCCGGTTTGGTACATCGGTCTACTAGAGGGAGGAGAACACAATCACTCACTAGGTTTTCAATTTACACTTTGATTTCTTGCAGGTCTGGGGGAGGTTCACTGCTGCAGGATGTTCGAGACTGGAGTCCATAAAAGTGAGGTGCAGTCCCAGGGAAAAGGATCCCTTTCCAAGTTCGCAATGCCCTGGAGTTTTGGCTCCCTGGCAATGTCTCCTGTCTCTGTACTAGGATTCAACAGCCTTATGACTATCACTCAAATTCAGCCTACGCTGTACAGCCTTGCCTTTCTTCTACCAAATATTGCCCTGTCCTGCTAATCTAAACCTTAACTTCAGACCATAAATATGCTGTAGCTTTGCCTTTTTCCCAAGTAGACCTCAATCAGCCCTTGGCTGCTTCTCTAAGTTTACTTTGACTCTTTTCTAATATTATCTCAAGGTTTGGACAATTATGATCTCTAATGACATTGTGCTCTTTTACACCTTCCAAGACAATTCTCAAAAACATTAAACATCACAATATCCAAGAAGAGAACAATTCCACATGCCCCTGGCATCACTTAGACCTCTTGGCCACTTGACTTGCTACTCAGAAAAGAATTTGTGAAGAACTATTCTTCAGCTATTTTTGCTTATATTTTAACTTTTGGTTACAGTTATTTATATTTTCTCTATTATTAGTAGCTCAAAAGCCATCCCCCTTAAAATTGCACACCCTGTCATTTTAGTGGAAGGCATTTCATTAATGCCAAACCAAATGATTTGACTTCTACTCTTTTCTCTTTCTCAGGATAGCAAAACACACAGGACCATGAACAAAAACTCTACAGACATTTGTTCAATGCAGAAGGAAGATAAAGGACACTTTTTGTAGGTATCTGTATGCAGAACACAGCTTGCCTATTTTCATTTTTATGTCTACTGAATTATTTCTAGAGAAAATGAAAAAAAAAAGTATTGTGCTGCTAAAGTTGAGAACCATCTATACAACTTCCCAATTCAGACTGTTGCATTTCAACACTAATGATGTCCCAAAGGTGTTGGTTTTGTTTTCGTTTTTAAGTTTAGTCCTGCCAGATGCAATAAAATACCTTATTGCAAAAAAAAAAATGCTCTCAAAATTATTAGTTATGAGAGCAGAATTGAAACAATGTTCCAGAAATTTACATTTGTCTTCAGCCAAAAACTCACCATATAACCCATTAGGGGGCTCTTCTCAAAGAGTTCTAGCAAGTATACCCCTGAGATGTTGCAAGTTAGAAAAAAAAAAAAAAAAAAGATCACTCTTCAATTTCCTAAACGACTTTCTTTAAATCATTATTTTGTAGCATGGTCAAAATTATGATACCCATATGATTGTAGGTAGGGTAAATGTTTTAGAAAGTTTAATACTCTGTCCCAACTTCTAAAAGGAGGGGAAAATTTCTGCTTAAGTGAACTTAAAAAAAAGAAGAAGAAGAATTATGTAGCTCTTCTAGCTATGTTATTGACTTGCCAGTCTGAGATGAATAACAAAAAAAGTTGGGAAAGTTAAATGTAGATTATATCCTTTAAAAAGTGAATAAAAGGATTCAAAGTAAAGTAATTGTGCTACTTGGAAAAAAGAAATATTTTGAAATAATGTCTTGCCATTAATCAAGTTATTGAAAATAAATGAAATTTAACACATTTCAAACATATCCAGAATACTGAATACAACTCAGACCAAACACAGCTTTGCTTTTTAATTCATCTATGTTAAATAGACTCACTTACCTGGAAGTATAAGAAAAGGTTAGGATCTACATTATTCCTCCCCTGGGTAAAAATCACTTAGACTTCTCTCCTTGAAATGCAAAAGAGCCTATAAATAAATAAATAAATAAATAAGAAAAGGAGGTAACCCCTGTAAATTTCCATGTCTTAAATTCAGGTGCAATTACAAAATGGTAAAATATTACAGGATTTTGTACACATAACTCAATTCATCTGAAAGTACTACTCCCAAAAGCAGGATGATATTCCCCACCCCACCCCCCCCATTTTAATGAGTACAATTCGAATTATTTGTTTTAAAAATAATTTAAAATAAAAACAATCAAGGTTTCAAAGCGTGGAAGCCATGCAGAAGATGGTGTTAGTCAAAGCAGAGCATTTTCACGTGAAAAACAACCAACAAAAATAGCTAACCTTGCCGGGAAGAGCCGCGCACAGCCGCCAACGTGCTGCTCCCGACTCGCACATCTGCTTCTGGTGCTGTGACAGCGCTCGAGTCGCGCTCGGGCTCCCAGGTAGGGGTCCGGAGTGAAAGTGCTGCCCCCCTCTGCAAGGACCGCGTTCAGCGCCGCCTCTTAAAAAAAAAATCCAAGGAATGAAATGTTAAAAAAAAAAAAATAGAAAATCCTCATATAAGTTTTCCTGGAGGGAAGGAAAGCCGCGCAGAGGGAGGCAGCGAGGAGCGCCGGCTCCCAGGCAGCCTGCCAGGCGCACGGGGCCGCCCCGGAGGCTGCGCGCCCAGCGGCCGCAGCGCAGCGCCATCTCCCGCGCCTGCAGCCGCCGCTCCCCAGGGAGGGCGCCGCGCCGCGGAGACTGACACGCCGGCCACTGCTGGCGCCGCACGCGCTACAGCGTGCCGCGCGGGCGGGGACACCTCCCTAGGAACTGGGAGTGGGTGGGCTGTGTCCTGCTGGATGCCACGGCTGCCCGCGTCCGAGGGCATGAACCCCAGTCCCTGCCAGCCTGCAGCTCTCCATGCTCCCTGTATTCCCAGGGAGGCTTGGTGTGGGGACAGCGATGGGCCCCCACATTGTTCCTGCCTCTGAGGAATTTCACCTTCACCGGAGGAAACAAATGCATCATCTAAAATAAAAAGCAGAATGGGAACGAGGTACAGGCAAAATACTCTGGATCAAAGACCAGAGAGAAAATGTTCTGGAAGAAGTCTGAACGCTGCCTGTTAAATGTGTTAATAATGCTGTCTTCCATTAACCAAGGCAGATTTCTTTCCCAAGAGTTTTCATGATTATATTCCATCTGTCCTTATAATTCAATAGTGCTCTGTGTGTGTCTGTACAATTGTTTCCATTTCACTTCCAGGAATTAAAAAAAGAAAAGTCCAACAGGACTCATACAAGGCGGAAGGAAAGACTGATAAGCCACTCCGGTCTGCACACTGCTGATCCCCCCCCTGTGTGGGGACCACCTGCTGGTGACTTAAGTTGGAAGGTTTTCTCTGACTCACTGGCATGAACAAAGTTAGCAGATGTGTAAAGAATATTACCATAGAAGTTTAGAGTCTGTTTTCTCTTACCCAAGTTCGCTTTGGGCTTAATGTTGATGTGGGTTGCCAATTGCCTGGGGCCAAGTCCCTGGGACCCCGGCTAGAGGCCTGTGCTGCCTGCCGCCTTCTTTGGCTTCTGCTCTCTCAGCCCACTTCCGCCTCTGCCCGACTAATTAATCTATGTCTAAATGGAACTGCAGTTGGCAGGAAGGCAGCAGTGTCAAAGTGGAATAATCACTTGGACCCGAATCTGAGTTGTTTTCCATCCTTGACAACAAATAATGTTACTTCACAGCCTGCAGGCCAAGAGTTGAAATGAGTTTATAATTTGGCTTCCAATCAATCTCTCATTCTCATTCTCCACCACTTAAATTTTCCTTTCTGTCTTTCAGCATGCAGGGGACAGCTCCGGAGGCTCAATCACTGGCCTGGTCTTTACTGATATCCTGAATGAATATTCTTTGCCATCCAAGCAAAAAAGGGAGGAAATCTGCATAATCCAAAACCACCCTTGTTTTAATAATGAAAACAAATACACTGTCAGCTCATACCTCCCCGTGATCATTAATAATCTAACTTGGACTTTTCAGTTCAGCAACTTGAAGAAAAATGTTCACAGTCTTTTCATTTCCACACCGTAATCCGCATTCCTCCAGCTTCGAGAGCTCGGCACTTGCAATGCCAAACTGCAGGATAAGAGGCCCAGGATGGCTCAGCGTCTCCCTCTTGGAGTGAAAGAACTCATTAAAACTCTGCTCCTGGGCTCTGGGAAGTGCATATCTCCTTAGTAGTTCCAAGTCTCCTGTTCCTTCAGAGGGGAGTGTTCTCAAGCCAGTAAGGGAAAAGGAAAAAAATACAGGAAGGCAGAATCACTGACAAGGCCCCTTTAGTGATCAGGGTGGAATGGGAATGGCATCATGGAAAATTACAGAAGATGAACCGTGGGTGTGCCTAGGAGAAGGGGTTGTGTTCAACTGGACCTATGCCCAGTAGAAGAAAGGGAAGGCACATCAACAGCACACCTACCATGTGCCACACACCTGCTGCTGAGATGTGCAGGAACTCACGTGATTCCCACAGTGATGCTGTGGATATGTGCGTTAATATCCCCACTTTTACAAAAGGGAAAAAAATGAGGTGTTAAAAATCTGCCTGGCTAACATGTGGTGGAGCCAGGATTTTTCCTCACTTTCAAAACCAAAACTCTATAAAGAAAGAGAAAAGCAAGTCTTTCCACTCTAGCATATTTACCTTCCATGCAAGTACTAGTCTTTGTGTGTGTCTCTTTAACAGTGAAGATGGGACTTGTGGGTGGGTAGCTGCATGTGCCCAAACTAAGCAGACATGGGGGCAGCAGCCAAAGATTGCCACCAAGGCTTTGGGAACATAGCCCCTCGAGGATCCCCTGATCTGTCCTCATAAAAAAAAAAAAAAAAATCACAGAAACAGAAACACATCCTCTGACCAGCCTTCCTGAGTCTCAGTAAGAAGGTGCTAAAAGTAAGAACTCACTCTAGGAAATAACTGCAGTAGGTACAGCAGATAAAGTGTCTTGCTCCCAAAGTGACAAGCAGACAACCCTCAGTTTGCACACTAGTGTCTGGGCTGAGTCCACTCCCCTGTTGTCTGAGTCCAGTGTGTCCTTGATAGTTTGGCACAGAGATCGATACAAAGGAGCTTGTGTGACTTTGCACCTTTAAGTTATGGTGAGCAGTGGGCAGATCAATGCTGGCTGTGCACCAGAGTGGACAAGAGAAGTCTATGGAAACATCATATGCTTGGATTGTGGAAGCTTCCCATCAGGATTCTAAAGATTAGAAAGTCACCCCACCCAAGGTCACAGAGATAGGCATACATGAATTACCAGTCCTCCTGAACTCGGCCAGCCTTTAATCCTGGCATATGGAGGCTTCCAAAAATGGTTTACAGAAAAGAACGATCCAAAATATTGAACAGGAATAATTGAGAGCAGTAATATTTTAACAATCTGGCAGTCATTCTAGTCAAGGTACGCTTAATTTGTGAACGTTCTTCCCATCTGGATTCCCCAAAAATCTTCAAAACCCCAATTGATGCAATAGCGTGAAAATACTACTCCCGCAGCCTCCAGCTCCCAGACTCCTTGCTGTCATCAACCTAAATCCCTACATCTGTCACCCATCTCAACCATGTGTGTGTCAGATCCACTGAGTCCTGAAATGTGGGAACAAGGAGAGAGATTTAAAAAGAATCTTTCCCCTAAGCATGCCTAAAATCAACGAAATGCACCAAGCCACAAGATAGGTGTCTATAACACACCCAGTCACGAGGTCGGGGCTCCCCCTAAGACTGCCTGTGTGCAGAGACACGTAACCATGTGTACTTTAAGAACTGGATGGAAACTCTTTTCATGTGTACGATCACTTGCATCTTCTGCATGTAAGTACTGGAAGGCAGAGTCAGGACAGGGTCAGCAACTGTGCAGCCAACTTCTAAAATTATCATCTTTCACAAGCGCATGTCTCTGAAAAGAAAGCGCCTTGGCCGCTGCACATGAAAAAAAAAATGAGTATTCGTAACCACATTCCTTCCACATTAAATAATTTTTACTGCAAATGGCATGTTTTAGGGTACAAATGACTCTAAAAGGCATGAGGCCTTCCCCCCCCACAAAGGGTACTCTCCTGTCCTTCTGTGACTGATAAACAGGAAAATCTCTGTGTCCTGCTCCAGAATGCACAGATTAAGTGAGAAGATATTCCACTTTTATTTCTAATCCTTTCAGCGGAGTAAGGCCACTTTTATTTTCTTTTCTGATAAATGGAGGTCATCTCAGATGATAAAATTATGTTATTCATTTATTCAAAGTCTCTTTTTAAATGGACAGGTCTATTAGCCTTAAAGAAATCAAATATTTTCCTGATACTCTATAAAGATTTGACAAGTGTCTTCCAAGCTTGGCTTGGGGACCCCCCTCACCCCAAGCCCACAGTTTAAACCATCTTCACATAACCAACATGGAAGACACTGACAAGAGAGAAAATGAAATGACTCACATCACAACTACAGGTACAAATAATAAGCTCTTAGAGCATAACGAAAGTGTGACTAATTGAGACCAGAAAGGGTCAGAATTGTAACTAGTTTCTTTTAGAAACTACATTGTTCTGTTTGCGATTGGTTGGAGATGGGAAACACAATCTTTCTTCTAAATCAGTTAAGATACAGATGGCTGACCAATCCCCATGAAAGAGAGCTGTCCTCTAGCATGCAAGCTGCTGTCCTGGAGTTACGCTCACATGCAATTGTTCTTTATATTTGACACCTTCTTCCAGCAAATCCTGGGCTGGCCCTGCCCCTATTAGATACTGCAGCTGCTCAGAGGTGCTCACTACCATCACAGATGTTAACGAGGCATGAACAGTGGCACTTGCTCCTGTCCAGAATAAGAGATTTGGCTTTTGCTCTTCAATGAGTGACTATGAGCCTGCAGACAAGCCTACATGTCTACGAGTCTCTAGTTGCGGATATATAAAATAAGGGGGGCTGGACTGAACCGGTGATTCTCAGTGAAGGAAGGTGATCCTTAACTGTCTCCCCACCCCCAATGAGAATCCTTGTGCAAGAGGATAAGTTACAGGTAGGAACAAGCTGCTGAATGTGTGGTGAGGATTCAGGACAGCCATCTGACCTCGGTGGGAAAACTAGGGAAGAGGCACTTAAAAAGAACTTAAGCTTCTGGGTATAAGGATTTCCTGGGTATAAAGACTCTGCCAGCCTCATTGATCCAGAGTAATCAGCCAACCAAACTGAAGCACAGGTTTGTCCACTAGCTGAGTGTACCTCTCACTGTGGCCTTTTGGAGCTGCTGGTGATTAGGCAATCACAGCCCTCCATTCAACAAAGTCATGTCACCCAAAGAAGATGCAGGGATCAAGATGATGCTCATCTAGGATGCACTGTGCTACGCAACAGAGACAGCCCAAGAGAACAAACTGTAGATCCCAACACCTTGCACACCAACACACCAACCCCAACACACAGAAGCCACAGCATGCAGAGGGTGCAGGACTGTGGCTTGGAACATCAGGTCCAGCCCTAGTTCTGCCCCAGGGTGATGGTGTGACCTTGGGAAGTTACTTGCAAAATAG